TTTTTTTTTTTTAAGTCCTGAAGTGATTCTAACTCACAGCCACATCAAACACCACTGTACTAGAAAAGGAGTTCACAGTTGACTATAAGACCACCAGCACTCGAAGATAGGCCCCCACTGTATCCACCCCATGCCCTGCTGAGCACTGGGGACAGAGATAGGATTCATCCCCCAATCGTGCTTTCCAGAAATTCTGGGGTAGGAGGAAGGGAGACAGATGTGGACTAAATTATGATATGTGACAGTGATGCCATTAACAGAGGTTTTTCACTCCTCCTTCCTCCCTTTAGTCATTCACTCATTCGCTCATTCGGTGAACACTGCCTGAGGCCCACCTGTGCCCCAGCTCCATGCACCGGGAAGAAGGAGGGTCAAAACAGACTGTCCCTATCACCGAGTACTCATTGAGCACCTGCTGTATACCCAGCACTGAGCCAGGCTCCATAGAGGCAGAGCTGATCAGACCCAGTCTTCGCCTTGGAGGAAGTCCCAGGTCTCATGGGAGAATAGAGACCGAAATAAAGGGACTTGAAAGAGGCCTAATAAGATGATACTAAGCATTAGTGCAGCAGGCTGTGAAGGGAGTGACGATACCTGGAAGTCTGGGAAGTCCTCCCTGAGGAGATGGTAGCCTTTGAAGTGGCTCTTAGAGGCTAAGCATCAGTTTGTCAGAGGAATAAGGAAACTAAGAGTCTTCACGGCAGAGAGAACAGCATCTGCAAAGCCTGGGAAGAGGCAAGAGGTCTGGTGCAGCTGGGAAGCTGGAGGAGCAGCTACAGCACAGGGGATAAGGGGATGTGGTAGGTGAGATTGGCTCAGGCTGGATCCTGAGAGAATGGGACATGAGATCCTTGAGATCTCAGGCTGGATCCTTGAGAATGGGACTGTGGTTGGTGTTCTGTGAGTGATAGGTAGCCATGTAATGTTTGTGAGCAGAGAAGGGATGTGACTGGGCCCAGTTTTGGAGGCACATCTTTGTGGCCAGAATGGAGGCAGGGAGGGCTGAGCCAGCACTTACCCAGATCCGCCTCTCAACCTTACAGGGGCTCCACGAGCGGGTCACACACCTGACCTTGGGGCAAACCCGGCGGCTCCTGGGAGGGACGGTGGCTCCGGTTGGGGCCTGCTCAAGCCACAGAAACCCAAAAAGGGGGAGGGAGGGAGGTGTCAGTGGTCCTCTACATCTGGAGAAACTCAGTTTTTAACAGGCCCAACCTGAGCCCTCTGCCAGCTGGGCAGTGGAAAGAGTGGTCCTCTTCCTCCTCGGCCCATGGTAATGGAGGGAGGCTCAGAGGGGGACACTTTGCCAAAGTTACCCAGAAGAGGATCAGTAGTGTCCCTCCATAATTAGCCCACCTTCACCGGTTTTAGGCTGCTGAGGCTCTCAGTCTCTAGAAAGAACAGAACAACTCTGATCCGCCCTCCCACATACCTGTCCTCCCCTTCACTGGCCTCCCAGCCTTGTCCTTGGCTGTGACCCTGGCCCTATATTCCCTGGAAGAGCCTCTGTCCAGAGTGGGGTATAAATCTGCAGGACATGGAGGGACAAAGTGCAGGTCACTCCTACATAGGCACAGAACAGAGAGAAGTCACGGACACAGGCGTGAACATTCAGAGACAAGCAGACACTGGTACAAAGACTGAGGCACAAACACATTCCACTCAAGCAAGCCCTGGGATCAGACAGGTGTGTGTGACGGTGGACAGTGGGAGGGGGAGTAGAGGGTCAGAGCAGAGACTGGTAAGCAGAGCAGCAGGAAGGTGCACAGGCAGAGGAGGAACAAGGCAGCTTCATAGAGTCACAGAGTGCAGAACAGAACGGTCAGCCCTCACCTCCTTCTGCCTCTTTTGGGTGGGACTCCTTTGCTCTGCATATGGGGAATATGGAGCTCAGAGCCAGGTTAGCCAACAGGGGTGTCTCCGCCTTGTAGACCACTGCTCCAGCCTCCTCACTTCCAGCTTTTTCTAATCCAGTTTCCACCCAGAAGCCTGAATCTGCTCCCCAAAGTCTGGCCAAGTCCCCCCTTCTTAATGCCCTTTGTCATTCCCCACAATGCTCCTCAGAGGTCATTTCCCCCATTTCTTTCCCTCCATGTATTATCGTCCAGCCAGGACAGACTCCTGGCACTTACACACACATACACACACGTGCACATCTCACCCCTCACCTCTGCTCATGCAGTTCTTTCTACCAGTAATGCCCTTCCCGCCAAATCTCACTGACCTAGGCTCCAATACAGGCTCTTCCGCTGACTTAAGACTATGAGGCTTTGGACAAGTCACTTCCTCTCTGAACCTCACCTTCCCTATCTGTAAAATGGAACTAAAAGTACAGCCCTACCGGAGCTGTTGGAAGATTAAATGATATAACTGATGGCAGGTACTGAGCACAATGCTCAGCCCTCAGCAGGTGCATGTCTAAGAAGGGTTCTAAATGCAATCCAGTCTTCTCTGCTACTTTCCAGCAGAGTCTCTCTAGGTGAGATTGGGCTCCACTGCACCACACATAGAAGGAGCAAGCACACAATGTGGAGTCAGGCAGATGGGGTCAAGGCCAAGCTGGGCTATCATTGAGCTGGGGGCCTAGGGCAGCTCCTCAAACCCACACCTCCATCAATCACTAGGCTCTGTTGACTCTACCTCCTAAATATGTCTTATCCTCATTAGCAAGGCCTTAGACCAGACCTCCAGCCAGTCAGTAGGACTCTGTCCCAGCCTTCTAACTGGTCTCCTGGCATCCACTCTTACCCTCTACAGGCCATTCCCTACCTACCAGCCAGACTATATTTTTAAAACACAAATCTGGTCTGATCTGTTCATATCATCCCACTGCTTAAAAGCTTTCAATGACTTCCTGGTGTTCTTAGCAGAAACCAACATCTTAACACATCCCATAATGCCTGGCCCTGCCAACCCTCCTTCTCCCTTGCTCTCCCTTCCTAAGCTCCAGCTGCTCCAGCCTTCATTCTGTTCTTAAACTTACTGAATTCTTACCCTTTCTCAGGGCCTTTGCACATGCAGTTCCTCTGCCTGGAAAGCTGTTCCCTTTACCCCACCCCACCCCTTCTACACAGTCAATTTCTGTTTATCCTTCAGGGTCTCACCTTTAGCCTTGTCTGAACTCCCTTCTGGACCAGGCCACCAAGGTGGTCACACATTGAATGCACGGTGCACATCTCTGTCAAAGCAGTTACCACCGTTGCAATAGAATCATTAACTGTGTGATTAGTTGCTTCCTCACACCCAGCTGCCCACTAGATTGAATCCAGGAGAACAGGGCCAACATCTCTTTACTTAGTTCACCTCTGATCCCTGCCCTTTGTCAGAGTGCCTGAATATAGTAGGAACTCAGTAAATACTTGTTGTGTGGATGAATGAAGCTCAATCTTATTCTTTGCAGAGAGGTAATAATAATCCCAGCCTCACAGGACTGTTGTCAGGAGTAGGTGGAACTGTACCTGTGTCACACCTAGCACATAATAGTTGCTCAATAAAAGATAGTTTCTTTGCCCCAGCTTACATGCCACCCCCTACAGTCTCTCTCTCTCCTCCAAGCACCAGTTGTCTGTCTTCTGTCCTTTTACACTTGGACTCACAGTATCTGAGTCCACACAAGCTTATTCACTCACATATATGGGAATTGAGAATTCCTGGCAGATGGAGACCGAGTCTGAGTCACCCATGATTCCATGGCAGGAAGGGGTGGGGAGGGGAAAAGGAGGGAATGGGGGGCTCACCGGGGTAGAATTCGCCTCCAGTAACGCCGTCTTCCACGCTCTGCAAAGCAAACCCATCAGACCTTGAGGAGGGAGTTTGGGAGATTGGGCCCCTAGCTGTTAAGACTTTCGTCCTCAACACAGCCTCAGCCCCAGTCTCCTGTAAAGGGGGGAGGTCCCCTTGACCCCCTTGGGTAGACAAAACCCCTCTCCCACCCCAGTCACACAGACAGAGCCCTCATTTGAGCTGGAGGCTCCTAATTCATTCTTAGTCCACAGTCTTCCCCTCTTCCAGCTTCCCCGGCTAGACACAAGACAGCTGGGCTTGGGTGGTCTCTTCGGGGCCTTCGGATTCTGGCATGCTTGGGCTGGTTCTCTAGCTGCAGCTCACCTCCACACCCCAAACCTACACACACACAGTTCCCCAACGCTCTGACCCCAGAGCCCTGTGAGGGCCGAGTGGACACAGGACAATCAGGCCTTTGTTGGTTGCCATGGCACCTGGCTAGGGTGGACAAGGCGGCTCTGTGCTTTGTCGGGCCAGAGCTCAGCTTCCCCCACTCCCACACGCCCCATCTCTTTCACTCTCCTACAATGCAAAGGCCTACTGACTCCACGGCCCGAGGGTAGGAAGGGAAAGAATGTGAGTAAGCAGACACACCCGGCCTCACAGTGTGGATCTGCATCGGACACTGGCATGTCTCTGCAACACAGTGGGCTGCCTCTGTGAGGCGGGGCAGGGTCTCCACCTCAGATCAAAGGCCACCCACTAAGGCATCTCCTCAGGAGGCAGTGGGAAGGGAGGTCTTTCACGGATGCCACAGGGTTGTCTGTTCCATATCACCCCCAAGTGAGCACTCATCTCAGAGCCTGCTAAATACACGACCCTGTATGATCAAGGACCACACACCTGAGGCCGGTGTGCCCAGTCCTCCCTCCATAGTCCCGGGTTCCATCACAGGGTGATGTGAGGACTTTTCTGGGTACCACACCAATCACCACGAGCCATTCAAATCCACTCTGCCCAACCTCTTCCCTGTTGACTGATCTTTGTCCCCTCTTCCTACACTTTGGGAATCAGAAGGCCCAGTGAGGAGGAGGCATCTGGTTACATTCCCCAAGATCTCTCCCTATCCTCTCCTGAGAGGACTTACACGGCATCGTCCTTGGTCTCTGCGCACAGATACAGGCGGGAGCCCTCCCGGAGGTTCACAATCAGCAGGCCGTCTCGGCTCCGGCCCTCTGGGGGCTGCACATCTAGAGACAGACACACACATATGGGGTTTCCACGGGGCACAGGCCCCAGTAAACCAGAAACAAGAATAGGGACGGACTTCCGGGTCCTGTTTATTGGCCATTGCCAACCTCCTCTGATCTCACACACTTTCTCTGGGATTCTGCTTTACTCTTCAGAGCCTTTCAACCTTTCCACGTTGCCTATTGCCATAGTTAGACATCTATCAGTTACCCTGTTATGACTGTGGCCTGAGCCCTGGTTGAGGAGATTTGCTCTGTGACTCTGGGCCAGTCACTTAACCTCCCTGATCCTCCTTATCTCTTTTCATCTTTATCCAGTTTCTAGCACCCAGAGGGCAGGAACCTTGTCTGACTTGCCTCTGTGACCCCAGCATAGGACCCAGGCCCAGCACAGGGTAGGAACTCAATAAGGAACCGCTATCTTAATTCAAACCCACATGAGTTGGAGTTGAGAGACCCAGAAGCAATGTCTATGGAAGCCCTCTGAAGCTGGCAAGAGCCTCATGCAGATGTTATCAGACAGACACAATGGGAGGGCCATGGACATAGTCACAGTGCCAGAGGGAAAAGGGCTTCTCACCGTGGCACTCTTGGCCGATCTTTATGCTGCGGACATTGAACTGGATGAGCACGCGATCCTCCTCGTCCTGTGCAGTCTCATCATGGTAGTAGCCCAGGGTCCCATCCAGCCACAAGGCAAACCAGTTTCGCTTCCAGCGGCGGAGGATGGAGCCTGTGCAATAGTTCACATTTGCTAGGCAGGCTGATTTCAGAGCCTGCTAGGGGGCAGGAGCACTGGACGGGCTCCCAGAATCCCCTCACCCACAGCCCCCAGTGTTATAACATGCCTTTCTTGTCTATCTACCCCCTGAAATGATGGTAGAGCCTCTTTCTGCCTTGCTCACCCAGTGCCTCCCCTTGTGCCTAACACATAGCAGAGGCTCCATAAATGTGTTGAATGGTAAATGAATGACCAGATTTCTTCCTTGGGGGCTTCCAAGGCCAAGCCCCAAGTTTCAAGGGCAAAGGCCTCTTCCTACCCTGAGCCTCCATCTAATCCCTTATCTTGCACTTGTGTGACAGTTGTTTCTGTAGTGTCAGCCTCTTCTACCAGACTGGGGTGTCCACAGCTCCCCACCCTGGACTTGGCACCCAGCAGGACCTGGGTTCAGTGTTTGCTGAATTGAATGAACTGAGAATGGGTCATGGGGTGTTGGAGAACTCCTAACCCAGGAGAGCTCTTCTTCAGATCATGATTCTGGTCAGAGGTGGGTCTGGAAGCCTGAGCCCTACCTTTGAACATTTTACGACTGAAAATCTTAACAGAAAAGGCAAAGTCATAAAGAAGCTTCTTAAGGCTTTACAGATCCCAAAGCATAGAGGCGTTTTCATATTATTCTGAGCCTCGTTCCATGGCCAGCCCCGGGCTAGTGCTGTGGATATGCAGAGCATCAAACCCAGTCCATACCCTCAAGGAGCTCACAGTCTGGGGTCAGTATGGAGTGGGGGAGTGGTAAGACCCATAGATGAAGGCAGTTACATTATAGGGGGATCCGTGCTATAACAGAGGTATGCATAACGCACTGGGAACAGTGTAGGGAGCCTCTAACCCAGCTTGGTGCTACAGCAGAGGCGGAGTGGAGGTTAGAGGAAAAGTCAGAGAAGGCTTCTCCCAGAAGGGGACATTTTCCAAGCAGTCAGGAATAGGAAGGACACTCCAAGCAGAGGAAAGAGTATAAACAAAGGAGAAAGGGTAAAAAGGGTCTTTTTTCTTGGGAGAAGGGTTCACTGCGGCACACCTAACAAGCCACTTCCTTCACCCCTGTCCCTGGACAAGGTACACAATGGACAAGGATTTGGCCCAAGGTTACTTACTCTGTCTCCACAGCCAGCCGCCCCTCACCAGGGCCATTTCTTCAAAAGGACTTTCCAGGGTGGAGTCAGGCGGAACCTGTCGGAGGATTCACAGGACACACAAGCCTCATCAGCAGCTCCGGGGCAGCTCTCCAAAGAGAAGCCCCCAGCCCTGCTCTCCCTGGGGAAGCCACTGAGGAAACGTGGAAACGTTTAAGGGAGTGTTAGTAAACAAGGGCAAGCCTGCCGGTCTCCTTCTCCTTCTCGGTCTCCTTCTCCTTCTCGGCTCTAGAAAGATAATGGGAGCACTGTCCTCGTGGGGTCAGCAGGGCAGCCACCCGTTGTGCGGGGGTGGGGGTCAGGAGCCTGGATTCCAATCTCAGCTCCATAACCTTTGCCATGTCCCTTCTCTCTGGCTTCTGTTTCTAGATTTGTGTCTATGAGGCAAGTAGAGGCTGGAGTGGGGAACAGTTAACAATGTTGGAAACCCTGGGATTTTGAAATGCTGGCAGCGCAGAATATTAGAATCATGACAATGAATGAGGGACTTTCATGATAGAAAAAAAAAAAGCTTCCCTCCCATTTGAATCTCACCTGAGCCGTTTACAAAGTGTGTAAAATAATAGTTCAATAGCTTCTATTATTGACTGAGCATTATATGCTGGATATGCTTCTCAGTGCTTTTGTCTATTATCTCATTGAAACCTCACGAAAATCCTTGTTACTCCCAGAAAACAGTCCTGGAGAAGTTCAACCACTTACGCAGATCCCCTCGATTAGTAAACAGAGGAGCCAGCATTCACACCCAGCAGTCCCAGCTTCTAACCATTACAACAGTAGGAGCTTTTAAAACTCTCAATACCCAGGTCATACCCCATAACAATTAAATCAGAAGGTCTGGGGCTGGGACGCAAGCATTGATAGTTTTTAAAGATCCCAGGTGATTCTAATGTGCAGCCAAGTTCTGAAACCACTGCATGTACTATACCACGTCACCTTGTCCCCACTGTAACTCTGTTGGATGGGTAGAATCTTGACTCCTATTTTACAGATGGACAAACTGAGGGACAGCAAACGACTTGTCCGTGTATGTGATGGAGCTTGGACTGGAATCCAGGTTCCCTCTGTTCCTGAGGGCGACTTACTTGCGAATAGGTGGCTCTGCCCCTCCCCCACCTGCTTACACCTGTTGCTGCGTAGCAAGAGCTGGAACACCTGAGCTGGAAGGCCTGGCTTTGTCCCTACTTCTCCTGCCCCTCCCTCCCCTCTCCAAGCCCTACCCTGGTCAGACAAAGAGGGTCAGGTGCAAACTCCCTCTGCAGCCTCCCCTTGATGCACCCACCTGTCTACACCTGTGGCGGATGCTGCTGCCAAAACGGCTGCTACTTGATGCTTGCTGTTACCCAACCTGCTGCGCCTGCGCTTTGTGTGCCCCAGAGAGCCTGGGGCATTTCAATACCCGGGCTGCGCCCCGGGCCTGGCTGCCCCTGGGCCCCGCCCCCAGGTCCCGCCCCATCTCCTGGGAGGGGATGGGGCGGGGAGAGATGCGCGATCACGAGGCATTCTGGGACTTGTAGTCTGAAGCCCTAGAGCTGGATTGCACAAGGCCTGTCCTGGGTGGAAACCCTGTGTTGACCTGGAGCACAGGTGAGGAGATGCACCTGCAATTTTATTTTGCCAAGACATCTGTGCACTCATTTATCATGAAATACATTTCCTAAGAATCATTAACTCATTCTGTAGAAAAAAGTAAGGTAGTAAGTAAGTAAGCCAGGCTCCTAGTCTTGTCACGTTTTTTCAATACTCGGTTTGTGCCTGGCACTGTTCTGGATGCTAGCGGAGGGCACAAAGGAGCATCTGACAAGGCCTTCCCTCCTTCCTTCCCCAGCTTCCAGTCTGGTGGGGTAGACTAAATGGAAACACAAGTAGAGCACAGGGTATGATTTAACAATGGGAGAAAAGAGTCTGACTTTGCCCAGGAGGTTCAGGAAGGCCTCCCAAGGAGGCTAAAAAGGGTTCTTGAGGGATGAGTAGTTTCCCAGGGGGTAGACCTAAGAGAATCATATGAGCACTGATCAGAAAGTTCAAAAGATAGGGCAGCTGGGTGCACCAGGCAGTTAAATGTCTGACTTCAGCTCAGGTCATGATCTCACGGTTCATGGGTTCAAGCCTTGTGTCGGGTTCTCCTGACAGCTCAGAGCCTGGAGCCTGCTTTGGATTCTGTGTCTCCCTCTCTCTCTGCCCCTCCTCAGCTCGTTATCTGTCTCTCTCTGTCTCTCAAAAATGAATAAACATTAAAAAAAAATTTTTTAAAAAGGAAAGTTCAAAAGAATATGCAGTATTTCAGTGTGTTTGGAAAGTACAGTGCAGGGGTGGGGAGGGCATGGGGAGTGGAAAGGGATGAAGCTACAGGTTTTGCAAGGACATAACATGAAGCCTGGGATGACAGGCTCAAGACTTACTTGGGTATTATGACATAGTGACTGGAGCTTTGGGGGTGGGGGTTTCAAGATGGAGAGTTAGGTGGTTTGATTTGTGGGTAGAAAAGATCTCTCTAGGGCATAGTCAAAAATGATTGAAGGAGGCCCACTGGAGAAAGAATATTGTTTCTGTATCTACAACCTGGGCTCCTCTTCCAGGATCATTTCCTGAATAGCTTAACCCCACCAAACCCCAACTAAGAGCAGATCCAGGATGTCATTCAGAGAACAGGGATGTCAGGGCCTGAAGGGCTCTTGGTCCTAAACCCCGTCTGAGAGGGGCACCCACCCTGCCCTGGACCCTTCTTCCTGTCCCAGAGACCTGTTCCTTACCGGGGCTGCAGGACTCATGGTTCCTGGGCGGCCAGGGCAGCATTTCCCAGAAGGTTCCTGCAGGGGGTCATTTTCCTGAGCGCCTTAAGAGATAAAGGGATCAGGAAGATGCTACCAAGTGAGAGCCGGAAGGGGGAGGTAAGAGGAGGCATACAGATCCTAGAGAAAAATCGTCCTCCCTCTCCAGTCACTCCCCAACCTCCCGGACTGATCTCATCTGCTGACCTTCATTCAGTTCATCGGGTAACAAATCATCGGTAATTTGGTTGTGGTCTTGGCCTAGTATCTCTAAGATTCCCGAAGCAGGGGCGGGCCGGGCCTCCTCCCACGGTCGGGGCGTGGCTAAATCTGCTTTCTCCAGCCTGGCTGGACAGTGCCATCACCCCAGTCCTGGCTGCACAGCCTGGCTCTTTAAGCTTTCTCTCGCTTCTGAATTTCTGTAATCCTGACCTTGAGCCACCCCGGCGCTTCGCCCCTTCGTGCTGTGCGCGCCTTGCTGAAGGATTCGCCATGACCAATCCTATTAGCCGCTGAGCTCCTACGTCTCCGTGCATCCCCAGGAACCAGCTTTACCAAACCACAGTGCCTTTCTGACCCTGAAACGTCCCACCCCTGCCTTCTCCTAATTAAATATCCGCCTCACAGTGCAAGGAAGGAAGGGAGAGAGTAAGGGAGGGAATACAGACGGTAAGGAGGGGAAGGAAGAGAAGGAAGTGGAGGAAGAAAGGAAGGCAGGAAGAAGGAAGGAAGAGAGGGAAGGAAGGTAGAAAGGTGGTAGAGAAGGGAAGGAGAAGCAGAAAGGAAGGATGAACGGAAGGAAGGAAGGAAAGGGTGGAGCTGGCCTCAGGAAATCTAGACCTGGATTCTGCCCCTCTCCCCAACTCTCCTTGCTCCCCTCTGTGAGGGGCTGTTTGGTGTCCTTCATAGAGGAGTGGGGGAACAGGGCAGACAGCTCCTAGATTACATACTCTGGATTTAGCAACTATATGAAAAGGGAAGATTCTCCTGCAACAGTGTGTAATTCAGGGGGACGAGTCCTCCACCACCCTCCCAAAGAGGGGGTGCTATGACAAGAAAAAGGAGAATGGTGAGTGGCAAACTAAAACCACGGGTACCTGTACAGAATCTAAATGCAGCCCCATCTGGCAGTATGTGTCTAAAATGTTGGTCAATGGCCCTCTTTGAGAAGCTGACAAAGGGGCGCCTGGGTGGCTCAGTCGGTTAAGCGTCCGACTTCGGCTCAGGTCATGATCTCATGGTACTTGAGTTCAAGCCCCGCGTCGGCCTCTGTGCTGACAGC